GTGTCAGCCCTCAAGTCACGTCCCTAGGCGGGGCGTTGTCCTGAGCCCGCCCGCTCCCCGCAGGCCAGGCGGGTTTCAAGGCTTCCGGTGGTACCGGAGTCAGGGCTGGGGAGACTCGAAATCACTGCTTCGGCGCGGAGACGTGGGGGTGCAGTCCGCTCACGGAAGCCGGGTACTTGGGAACTGATGCCGGGACAGACGGGGGGCAGCCGGAATATCTGGACTGGAGCCAGGATACCGTAGGCGTGTCCCTGTCCTGGACCCCCTAACGTTCGCCGACACTTTTATTTCATCCCCCCGCCTTCCCAACACACACAATTCAGGCGTACGGGGGTGGTGGTGGGGGAAGCGGGCACACAGCTTTATTCTGCGAGCAGGTGAGATTCAGGCACAGGACCCCGAGAAGAGGCAGGAGGATGGAGAAGGTGTAGGTGCTGGCACAAGGCTGAAGAGTGCGCGGCGACCCGCGCGGGGCGAGGGCTGCGGGCCGTCCTGCAGGGAGCTGAGTGCCGCTTGGCGCTGCTCTCGGGACACGTCCCCACGCAGGTCCAAGAGGGCAGAGACATGTTCCTCGCTAAGGGGGGGGGACCACAGCGATGCATCAGCGCCCCCCATCCCTCCCAGGTCCCTTCTCCCTTTCCGCCCCCATCCACGTACCTTACGTCGGGAAATTGTTGCCGAAGGCTTGCCACCTCGAGGCCAAGCATCGTGGGGTCGTGGAGGTTCAGCAGCTTCCGCAGGGTGAGCAGCACCGGCGCGCAATGAGCGCTCTCTTCCAGGCCCTGACCACGTTGGGCTAGGTCTTGAGCCCGCCCTTGACTCCCACCCAACCACGGAGACTCACACCCATCTGCTCGCCCAACAAGCTCTTACCAAATCAAGGAAAAGATCCCGAAGCTGGGTGGCATCCTGTTGCATGCGCTCGGCTGCCTGGTTCCGCTCGTCCGCACCGCGGCACACTAGGCGGCCTTGCATCAGCGCACATAGGTACTGCAGCACCACCGCACGCTCCGTCTCGGCCAGGAGCACCTGCGGGGAGGGCTATCACGTGGGCCCAGGACACCTTTTCCATCGGCGTTCCACCCTCGCCAGCCTTTCCCCAACACACCTGGAATGCGGGGTTCCGAACACGCCAGAAGTTCCGGCAGAAGCGCGCTGTCCGCTCGCACACATTGTTCAGCAGCTCTGGGCTCGACAGCCAACGGCGCGAGGGCAGAGTCGCGAACAGGGGCTGGAAGGACGATCCAGACCCGGAATTTCCCCTCAGAGACTCCCAAACATACGCCTCATCTCCTCCTACCCTTAGTCCCACCTGCAGTCTCACCTGGAGCTCCAGCAACAGCGCCTCCAACACCAGCCGGCAGATCCTCCTCTGCAACTCGTCAAGCGCTGCCTCCACCGGAGCCAAGGCCCCTGAGACCACCCCTTCGGGCTGCAAGACGGACACGGAGGAGCTGGACCAACCAAAAGTAGGGCTTCAGGACCAAGGCCAAGGCCCTCACAGCCCTCGATGGTCTGGAAGCTTGGGCGCCACCTAGTGGCGGAGGTGTGTGTGGCAGGACGGGGCAAGAAGGGCCCTCGCCTTCTGAAGGTCTAGGGCAGTGGTTCTCAAACTTCCTAGTGCCGCGACCCTTTAATACAGTTCCTCATGTTGTGGTGACCCCCAACCATAAAATTATTTTCGTTGCTACTTCATAACTGTAATTTTGCTACTGTTATGAATCGTCATGTAAATATCGACATGCAGGATGTATTTTCATTGTTACAAATTGAACACAATTAAAGCATAGTGATTAATCACAAAAACAATATGTAATTATATATGTGTTTTCCGATGGTCTTAGGCGACCCCTGTGAAAGGGTCGTTCGACCCCCAAAGGGGTCGCGACCCACAGGTTGAGAACCGCTGGTCTAGGGTGTGCACGGGTGGGCTCAGCAAGCTAGAAAAGACACAACCCAGTCGGACCTGTTTCTAATTCCCAGTGAGACCTTGAGCAAGCCATGTCTTCCTGTTTCTGTTTCCTCATCGGTAAGGGGAGAGAGTTCATCACAGTCAAGAGGGAGTAACTTGTTTGTCTGACCTCTCTGTCCCCATCCTATGTAATAAAAGCCTAATATGCAAATTGTCCCCTCAGGTGGTCATTCAACCCATTCAACCAGGAGACCGGGAGTTTGACCACTTGCTATGATGTGTGCTGACCACCAGGGGGCAGCGCGGAACATGGCAGGCATTGGCAATGCGGCACTGGCAGCAGGCAGCAGTGGAGGTGCTGCCAGCCCAGATGAGCCCTGACAAGAGCAGGACCACAGCAGGATGGTGGAGCAGGTGAGTGGGCGGCACTAGGCCAAAGCAGATGCGAGCGAGGCCTGATTGCTCCACCGATCACCCCGCAGATGGAGACCAGTGGCAGCGGTGGGGTGCGAGGCTGCTGCCCAGATCCCAGGCGCTGAGGGAGCCGGGGCGGGGGCGGCCCTGATTGATTGCCCTGCAGGCAGGATGGCGGAGCAGGCAGCACCAGGCCAAGGCAGGGTGCCAGGTGGGGCTGTGAGGCTGGGGGTGTGAACTGGGGCCCAATTTCCACAGGCCACCCTGAAGGACCCCACCTGTGCATGAATTCATGCACTGGCCCTCTAATCCCAAATGATATAAGACCCAAGGGGAAGGAAATACTTTTCTGTTTTGATCACAGCTGTAACCCCAGACACAGAGTAGGCCTTGTGAGTATACTATGTTGTAGTATGTTGAATTAAACATGAGACTATGTGCTAGGCACTGTGGTAGGTACTTTACATCAAATGTGATCCTCAGAACATCTCATCTATCTATATAAAAGCCTAAGTGACCATCAGAACTGAACAGATGACTGAACACGCTGTGTGGGGCGACCTGGCCAGCAGGGGGGGCAGTTGGGAGCAACCAGGCGGGCAGGGGGACCAGTGAGGGGTGGGCTGGCAGGCAGAAGCAGTTAGGGGTGATCAGGCCAGCAGGGGGGCAGTTAGGAGTGACCAGGCCGGCGGGGGGCGGGCAGTGAGGGGCAATCAGGCCGGCAGGCAGAGGCGGTTAGGAGCCAGTAGTCCAGAATTATGAGAGGGAGTCCGACTGCCGGTTTAGGTCCGATCCCCACAGTACCTCGGCAGTTGGACATCCCCCAAGGGGTCCTGGATTGGAGAGGGTGCAGGCTGGGCTAAGGGGACCCTCCCCGCTGTGCATGAATTTTGTGCACTGGGCCTCTAGTTATATATAAAAACCTAAGCAACCTTTATGACCAGAGGACCTGCTGGTAGCTATGACGTTCACTGACCACCAGGGGGCAGACACTCAACATAGGAGCTTCCCCTAGTGGTCAGTGCGCTCCCACAGCCAACCTCCCGCGGCTGGCCAACTTCCGGAAGTCCCTCCCCAGAGGCTGGCCCTGATGGGCCCCCATCAGGGTGGCTGGCCAACCTCCCATGGTCCTTTCCCCCTGGCCAGCCGACCCCAAACAGCCCTGATCACCAGCCAGGCCGAGGGACTCCACCTGTGCACAAATTCATGCACCGGGCCTCTAGTTACTCATATAATACTAGTAAGAGAGATTAAGTAACTAGCTCAAGGTCACCCAGCTAGTAATTAGTAGAATTAGGATTGGAACCACGGGGCTATGTGACTCCAAAGTTCCTAATAGACTAGTGAAGGCTGGGTCCATACTTAGCAGGTACTCAGCAGTCAGTGGAGGTGGGGTTCTGTGGGGGCCTTATGGTACCTGAGTGCCGATTGGTGGTTGAGGGCAGCCAGTAGGTAGGACACGTAATGAGGGACCACTGCTTCCCCTCTGAGGTGGTCTCGGGAGAATCGGATCAGAGCATCATTAAAGCTGCAAAGGACAGAGGTGGCGCCTGTACCTGCTGTCACTGGTACCCCAACAATTTCTGTCCCAAGTACTCTGGCCCCCACCTCCAAGATACCCAAGGCACTGTTGCAAGGAGCCTTTCCCCACTGGTGTGCCTTATTCACTCAGAGCCCCCCTGGGCTGCCCCAGGAGCAGGGCCAGGGGTGGGGGTGGGCCGGTGCCTTGGCAGACCTCCTCAGGAACGCTCCCAGTTCTGACAGTGCCATGCCGTGCACCCGCCGCTGCAGTGACTCACTGACCAGGCTGGTCACTCGAATGTTTTCTTCCAGGATCTACAGGCAGGGATGGGCAGCCATCAGCAGCGTCCTAGTTATGCGCCCCCCCCCCCCCCTTTTTTTTTTAGTATGAGGGCTGTCCACCTGGCTGCCACTTCCCACCCACCTGCAGCACGATGGCTGGCATTGGTGAGTGGTAGAAGCCGGATGGATCTGTGTCAGGCTCCCGCTCCCGGCCCCATTCAGCCACTTCCCCTTCCAGTGCCTTCTGCAGCCACTGCACCACACTTGCCTGGCGGAAGGGACAAGGGGCAGCAGAATGTAGCAGGGCACTGACCCTGCTAGAGACAGGTAGCCATGTGACTCTACAGCAGCGGTTCTCAACCTGTGGATTGCGACCCCTTTGGGGGTCGAACGACCCTTTCACAGGGGTCGCCTAAGACCATCGGAAAACACATATATAATTACATGTTGTTTTTGCGATTAATAACTATGCTTTAATTATGTTCAATTGGTAACAACGAAATTGGGGGTCACCACAACATGAGGAACTGTATTAAAGGGTCGCGGCATTAGGAAGGTTGAGAACCACTGCTCTACAGATACAGTCACACAGCTGGTGGCAGAGCTGCTCTGGACCTGGGCCCCAACTACTCACCCGGACTTTGGATACAAATGTTGCCTCTAGCTGCTCGATATTCTCCAGGGTCAGGAGAGGTTCCAGCTGAGACACATCAGCCTCCGGCCCCAATTCCAGGCTCCCCATCATTTCTGGCCTGGTGATGAGTGGCCTAGTGTCACTCTGAGCCCCCAGCTTCTGATCCACCCACTTCCCATTGCCCCAGGGGCACTGACCCCAGGTACACGTGCAGCGCCCAGTGCAGCAAGGTGAAGGCGTCGGAGGCTCCCAGCTCGGGCCCTTCCAGGAACTGCTGCAGGCAGCGCCGCAGGCCACCGTGCAGGGTGTGGGCCCACAGCCGGACCACCTTGTAGTGTGGTGGGCAGCAGGGTGCTATCAGTGCCTCAGCTGTGGCCAATTCGGCTGGTAGAGCCACCCGCAGAGCCTCCAGCCACCCTGCGAGGGCCCCTGGTCCAGGCAGCAGAGGTGTCCCAAAGTGGACCCGCTCTAGGCCCTCCTCTAGCGCTCGCAGACAGCGCTGCCGCCAGTCCCGGGGGGCCTGCTCCAGGGAGGTTGTTCTGCCAGCCTCCACCTCCGCCACACGCACAGCAGCCACCAACAGGGCTGGGTCTTCCCGGGCCAGCTGCCCTGCAGCCCCTACAGTTGCCTCCACAGCCTGGCCCAGTGCCTCAGCCAGAGGGCCCAGCCCCTCAAAGACTGGCAACTCCAGACCCCCCAGAGAGGCCCACGTCTCCTCTTGCAGCTGCTCCAGCTCCCTAAGGCTCACATATGCCTCCAAGAGCCGATGGGCATCAATCAGGGTCTGTGCGTGGACCACTGCAGCGGGCACTAAGGAGGGAGCAGAGGAGACAGCCCTGGGTCTCAGCCTTCCCACCTGTGCAATGGGTACAGGATCAGATGCTGAGGCCCTGCGGCTGGGGTGATGTATAAAGTATTAAATAACCAGTAGAGTAGACTTTTACTGAATGAATTTAATCTTATTAGAGAATAAAATATAACCAGTATAGTAGAGCGTTGGCCAATCTGAAAGGACCAGGGAAGGCCCTAGCCTAGAGGCCTGTTGGGCGAGGTGTAAACCCTTGAGCTGATGGAACAGAAGGAAGTCAGGGATCCTGGAGGGAAGGCAGGGAGGAACGGGAGGACATTCTAGTGGCTATTCACCCACGCTGTTAGGGAATATTTCAATGTAACAACCAGGGTGGCCAGAGCCACTTGACTGGGTATCAGTGCTGACTCAGACATCCCCTGCTCAAAAACCTGAGTGAGCTAATTTGCACCCTGCTTTATGTGCCATCTGAAGCCTGAGTTACTTTCTGGGAGGCCCTTGGTGTGTCCCTCCATGCAACCTCCCACTGGTACCCCAGCCCCTTGATGAGTGTGTTGACTGACTGTTGGGGGCTGGAGCCTAGGGCCCTTGCACACTCACCTGCTCGCAGCCGGGGCAGCAGCTGAGACAGGGCCTGCAGTTGCTTGTGTTGGACAGCCTGCTCCCGCAAGGGCTCTAGGGTCTGTACAGCCTTGGCCATGCCCCGGAGCAACCCACGGGCCTGGCCCAGGGCCTCACGGGCTCCTTGCACAGCCTCGAGGGCCTGTGCCAGTTGCCAAACACCAGTCTTCACACCCTCCAGGTATGACTGCACCACTGACTGCGGAAGGGAGGGAGACGGTGAGGCCTGCCCAGCTGGCCACCCACCCCCAGTTCTCCTGCCCCTTGCCTGATGCCCACCTTAATGCGTGCTTCCAGGGAGCGGGTGCGCTGTACCTCACGGCTGCGGTACTGGCCCAGCCTGGCCAGCTGCTCCGGCCGGTAGAAGATGCCTGAGGCCCACTTGAGTGCTGCACCCCGGGCCAGCTGCTCCGCCCTCTCCTGCTCCGGCCACTCTGGCCCTGGGCAGGAAGAGCCTGGGTAGCCATGTCAGTTGGGCAGGGCCTGAAGGAAGCAGCTGCCGACCCTGCTCCCCTTCCTGCTCCTCAGCCTGAAACTCCAGGGCAGTCTACTCCTCTCACTGACCGACAGAACTCCAGCCAGATCTGGCAGGGGGGGCCCAAACCCACCACTCCCATCTTTCTTGCCACATCCCTCCCCCAACCCACCCAGAAGGGCTCATACCAGGAGGAAGTGAAGGTTGCATTTCGTCCTTGGCTGTGGGGTCCATTTTAGGCCCTGGAGGAGCAGGAGCCGAGGTAGGAGTCCGGGCAAGGGTCTGGGCTAGAGCAGGCAGAGTGGAGGAGCTTTGAGCTGCAGGCTCTGTCTAGGCCTCTCTCAGAAGGAGGAGGGAGGTTCCTGCCCAGGCTCCTCAGCAAATGGGAGGGAGGCAGGGTGAGATGGGGAGGCACCTGGGAAGCCTCCTTTGCTGGGTTTCTCAGCGTTGCCCCTTCAGATGCCAAGTGAGGCAGGGTGGGCACAGGCCTCCACTGGACCCCGCTCCTGTTCTGCGTTGCAGAGGACAGTTTGGTATGGAACTCACCAGGCTTGACCAGGCGGCCAGTTCTCCCTCCTCCGCAAACAGCGTTGGCCTTGAGGATGGCCCTCTCCTCCAGCCCTCACAGCAGAGCTGGGCACTCCCTCCACTGGCTCCCAGGGCCTCGGTGGCTCTGGGTCACACCTCCGCATGCAGCAGAATTCCCCTTTCCAAGGAAGCCTCGGTCCCACCTCCCTGTCCAGAAGCCCGCCTCCCCTCTCCCCAAGACCACAGGCAGAAAGGAAGGAAGCTGAGTCTCTGGCGTTTTATTCCCAACAGGAAAGAGCATCTGCGCTGTGGGATGGGGTGGGGAGGGCTGGGCTCACTTCCTTGGGGGGAGGGGGCGGTACTCCCTGTGATTATTAGGTCTTGACCAGTCCACCCAGGACCTCTTAGTGCCCAGAACAGACATGAACTGGATGGCCCCAATTTGGGGTGGAGAGAGAGGTGTGCAAACATGGATGCAGACAACATCACAGTATGAAAACTATGCTGACAGGCCCTTCAGAGGAGGGTGTGTAACCTCTGCAGAGAAGTGAGAGATCACAGGCTGTTGTGAAGAATGTGAGCCCTGACCGGTTTGGCTCAGTGGATAGAGCGTCGGCCTGCGGACTGAAGGGTCCCAGATTTGATTCCAGTCAAGGGCATGTACCTTGGTTGCGGGCACATCCCCAGTTGGGGGTGTGCAGGAGGCAGCCGATCGATATTTCTCTCTCGATGTTTCTCTCTTGTCGGTGTTTCTAACTATCCCTCTCCCTTCCTCTCTGTAAAAAAATCAATAAAAAAAATATATATTTAAAAAAGAATGTGTATGGTGGGTGATGGCAGAAGAGGTTCAAGGGCTCTGAGAGCTGTTTATCTTGAGAGTTGAAGGGGCCACAGAAGGGACTATAAGGTAGTAATAATGTAGCGGGCACTAGGGAACCACCCAAACCCACCCTTCAGGACAAAGGCACTTGTTCCCCTCGCTGCTTGCAGTGTATGCTGCTGAGGTCTCACAGCTGAATCTCAAGGCCAGTGTTGGGGTACAAAGGCCCAGAACCCGTACCCCTGTCTGGATATGGAACGTCTTGGAAGGGCCACTCCAGTTTCAGAGCGCCTAGTAGGATGGGCTGGGGTCTTTATTATAACTGCATTGCAGTTTAATTCCTTCTCTGTTCATTTCTGCTTATCTTACAAGCGTGGATAAACTTCCTGCAGGCAGATCCCTGGGTCAAAGTCTGCTTCCTGGAGAATCTGACTGGATAGAAATAATAACAAAAACGCTAAAAAAAATAACAAAATGATACCAGCAAACACAAAATCCTCCCTACATGCTGGGAACTGCTCTAAGTGCTTTACATATATTGACTCATTGGTAAACGTGTTTGCATTGGCTGAAAAGTGGCTATAATTCTATGGCCTCTGAGCACTGCAGGGTGGAGACAAGAGGAAGATGAGGCTGGGATCAGGGAAGGGGAGTGGGGCTGGAGACAAGAGGACAAGCTAGATGTAGTGAGTGCTTATTGTTTGGCAGGAAGTGAGGTACGATAATAGGATGGGTGACCCCAAGACAGTGGGGCAGCTTATAGGAGCAGGAATTGGGGAAACACATTGGGTTCATCTGGCAGCGCGGTCTCCTCTCCGGAGACGGGTTGGCCACCCGGAAGGTTTTGGTGGCTCCCCCTTCTCTATTGCCTGGGCTGCCACCGACTTCCTCCACCTGGGCTGATTTCGTCCTTTTCGGCGTTTGAAAATTTGCTGACCGCCCCAAAGTTTTGCGGCCGTACCCGCGGAGAGGAATTGCCCCACGTTCCCTAGAAGAGAGCGGAACGGAAGCGGAAGCTGCGACGCTGGCGCCGGCGGCTGGGCGGTGAGGAACGGAAGCGGAAGT